AAATGTAATTACCGTTAATCTGTTCTGGCATGGAGGACAGGGAGGCGGCTATTGCTTGGCGGGAGAGTCCCCCTCCCTACGACCACGTGTCAGGGGCGGAAAATGGCCGCAGACCGCGTGTCAGGGGCGGAAAATGGCCGTGGACCACATGTAAGGGGTGGAAAAATGGCCCCGGACCACGTGTCAGGCGCGGAAAAATGGCCACGGACCACGTGTCAGGGGCGGAAAATGGCCGCGGACCATGTGTCGGGCGGAAAAATGGCCGTGGACCGTGTCACGGGAGGGAAAATGGCCGCGTATCCTGTTCATACCCTGAGGCGGAGTTCGCAAACCGAGGTAAATTTTTGCAGCCGGAGCTGGTTGTAACCCGAAAAGTTCGTTAACAGAGGCATTCGTAACCCGAGGTACCACTGTTGTTTCAACAAACTCTTCAAACTTTGGTAGCAGCCAGTTATATTTTCAGTGTGGCATGTTAACCTCTTTCATGGAACTTGCAGGGGATTTCAGATCACAAGGCTTCAGTTCTTTCTCTGAACTGCAATGTAAACTCTAGTCCCCATGACAAGATTGGATGGATTGCAAAACAAGGGAATTGTGGAATAGGAGAAAGAAGGAACCAGGGTAGAGATTTTCAGATTCTAAAATGTTTTTCTGTCTTTATTTGTGGGAACCTCTGTATGTCTGTCTGCTACAGGATCCTTGTGCAGTGCAGATTATGTTTTCTCCTCACCCTCTACAGATGCATGCACAATTCACATAAAGTGTTGGGCTGGTCTTTTGAACCTCACTAATGCCACAAATGAACTTACACACCGAACACTCCTCAGTGGCTGCTTATGACCAAACAGGATCAGCCAAGATGTTTTGATGCTTAGTGAAAGAAAACGAAACAGAAACTCCCTCCATTCCATTCCAATATACAACAGTGAGCAAATTGGCTTTCACATCTCCCTTCACACTGGTGAAAGGACAGTGTCTTTCACAATTCTGGAAGGATGCAGGTAACTTAGCGATTGCAAGACTGACCAGATGTCTTGCATAGCTTTCTCCATTCCTCATCCATCCCTCACCTCCATGCCTGTCGCAACTGCCCATCCCACCTCACGGCTGGGTCAGTTCAGTTGTCCCAGGAAAAAATGGGCCTCTCCCAGGGACATATGTCTAAGATGTATCTTCTAAGCGAGCAACCTGTGCTGATCCTCTGGGTGCAGGGCTGTCTCTAACCTTAAGGCAAAATGAAAGAGACACTCTCAGTGGTAGACCAGGACAGGTAGCAAACTGGGGACCAGCTCTCACCTGCTGCCTTCCCAGCCTGTCACTTGGAACAGCTGTTTCAACATGCGTAAAGCATGTAGCTTGCTAGAGCAGCGTTGCTGCTGTCTACGGGGTAACCAGCTGAAGATTCAATGGCAGCTGGACTGCTGTTGCTGAGATGGGTGTGGGGAGGGAGCTCATGGGGTGAGTGCATAACAGGAAATGGGGGGCCTCTTCCTGCCTCAGGCTGGGGCTCATCTGTCAATGGTTACTGACCAGTACTGATCACACTGTTGATATGAGAAGCTTCTAGTTGTGTGTGTATGTGTGTGGGGTGTTTGCATCTGTATTTCCTGGGAAAGAAGATAGCTGCGTTCACTGCAATACTGTGCGAAATACGGAAGGACGCTGCAGAGGCCATGACATGGCTGCCAAAAGCCTACACAAGGAAATAGCCGTTTTAGCGTGGGTCCATCCCTTTGATCAATTCTACCCTTATGTCTCTTTCCTCTTGGCACTGTTTAGAAGATTGGAATCCCAACCTGTTTCCTTCTCTGAACTACATCCTATCTAGTTCCTTTCTAAAATGATGCTTATCTTTTAAGGCCAGCTTTAGGAAACTTGGCTCAGATTTTTTTAATTGATCCAGGTTTTATTTCAGGTACTTATTTTCCATAGCCTGTTTTGTTCAGGGTTATTTCTGTTATTTTATTTTGTAGGATGGGTTTTTAACATTTTTTAATGATTTGAAGCATTTTTTTAAAATACAGTCTGAGGATCTGGTTGCATGGATTTACTCTCAACTTATTCTGCAGTCTGATAAACCTGTTAAATTCTCCCAATTCTGCCTCCTTGTTTTCTTCCAATTCCCCATCCCCATCAGCCTGAGAACCTGCTCTATTACAGCCTAGATGAGGATTCCAAGATCATGATTAGTGACTTTGGGCTGTCGAAGATAGAAGGCTCGGGCAGTGTCATGTCCACAGCATGTGGGACTCCTGGCTACGTGGGTGAGCAACAAAGCCCCCCCCCCAAGTAATAAAAGTAATATTTGGGCAGGGGGAGAGTAACAAGCCAAAGTAATAATGAATCTTATCAGTCTTAAAAGGTAAAGACTTCCTTGAGTCCAGCTTCTGGTGATTACACAGGAACATCGATGTGGGCAGAATTTTTTACATTAACAGGGATTCTTCTGGGTTCTTTTTCACTCTCTGTCCAGTCACTCCCACCCTTATAATTAGTACCTTTCTCCTTTGCCCCTTTCTTCTAAAGAAACTTGTAATATGTTGTTTGGTGTTCCTTTGTCACTGCAGCTTTCCTAAATTGCCCCTCTTTGAGTCATTTTCATTCCAGGTTGGGAGGATTTTCTCTTTGGTTTTCTCTTTGCAGCCCAAGCAAATTACTGTATTTAATGTTTCACTAAAGGCTCTCCTCAGGAAGAGTAATTGATAAACAAAGGGCTAATTCAGGATTTCCACAGCCACCCAATTGAATGAGAAGTGGCAGAGACAGCAGCTGCTTTAGAAGAACGGTGCAGGGAGCATGCTGCTAAGGAGCAGTGAGAAATGGGATTTCTCCTGTAAAGAGAATTTATTTTGAGTAATCATATGACAGGAGTCGATTCTTTGGTACAGGGATTGCCAAGTAATACGGTATTGTGTTCTATTAAGTGCGGTGTTAAATGTTCTTTGCAGCTGACTCTAGCAAAGCCATGCCTTCTTACTGCTAATGTGCTCTAACATGCAAGTAACCTAGATTTTACTGTCCCCTCTCCCCTCCTAACTGGGGAAGGTGAGAGAAGAAAGAGAGTATGGAGGGGAAAACCTGTCTTCTTGAATTGTTGTGCTTCAAACCTAACTGAAGATACATTAAGAAGTTCACATAGTTGATGTACTAGCCAACACCAAGGATAGGTAACCTGTGCAGTTCCAGCATCCCTAGGAAGCATGACCAGGACTAAGGGGTTCTGGAATTGCAGTTCAGCAACATGTAAAGACACTCAGTTGCCTCCTCTTGGTCATATTTCAACATACTTTAACCAGGTACCTCTAGGTATGTTGGACCTGAGATGGGATAGAATTTGGAGGCATGAGACCTCCAAATGACTTCCATGTGTTGTGAAGGAAAAAGGACTGAACAAATATTCTGGGCCAGAACTGAGAATTATCCTGGAGGAAGATGGAAGCTTGAAATCAGTTTTAGTAGGAAGCAATTCAATTAACTTAAAAAAATATATTAATAGATTTTTGATCATTAGCTCAATTAATGGGATAGCAACTCTCAGAATTGGGTCAAGCAATCTGTGGCTTCCCAGATGCTGTTGGACTATCATTGCTAAATAGCGAGTCTATTGACTAGCTCTACTGGAATCCAACATCTGAAAGCCTTCCACCACCTCTGAAGGTGCTCTCTAGTGTAAGGGTTATATTAACCAATAAATAACAGTGGACATAGCAACATATTTCAGTCTCTAATGGTTGCATTCTTTCTTTCCTGCTGCTCCCCCCTGACCTGATCCAGCTCCTGAAGTCTTGGCACAGAAGCCTTACAGCAAGGCTGTGGACTGCTGGTCTATTGGAGTCATTGCCTACATCTTGTATGTATTGAGTGGAATTGGAGGAGAGGGGTAGACAGGGGGATAGGGAGGACTGATAATACTTTCTGTTACTCCTCAATACATCTCTGTCTAGGGCATCGTATTTGATGAACTTCAAACATGATCTTGCCCCTTTGCCTTCCAGGATTCATTTGGCATTTGCATAGCTGCTCCAATGGTCCATTGTTATTCCTTTGCATGTGGCTTGAGAAATGTTATATGATTCCCCTTTTGGAATTTGAAGGGCTAGAAATTCCACTCACTTTGGTCATGACGTTTTTCTCTCCTTGCCTCAGTCTAGGGCATAATTGCAGTATCTCTGTGTTTTGCCACAGAGGTGATACTATTCTGTCTCTGAGGTTGTTAATTCATGCCACAAAAATTGATCTGTCCATTTTAAAACAATTGGCTTCTTTAGATGGAGCACTATTGCAAATTAGAGATTGACAAGGAATTTAATTTTTCACATTTTGAAAGATGTGATCCCAATCCCCCGTGTTGAAATATGGATTATAGCTTGGTTTCCCAACTTGTTTCTGTACTTTCTGAATGTTTTGGGTTCACAAAAAAGGGTAACAAACTAAGTCAGGAAAGTGTGTTTTGAGTGAAAATGAATTTGCCAATACATATTATTTTGCAGATTAATGTAGAAATTGGACATAATAGTCTTATGGGTGAAGACAGGTGGAAAAGGGGCTGGTTAATCCATGCCTGCATAAAGTACAAGAACTGTGTATGTGTGGGAAGCTCACTTCCAAAACAGGTGAGGGCACAGTGTGACCCCATTATAAATCAACACCGCTGCTATTCAGTCAGCTGGAGTGGAGGGACGTATGACTCCTAAAAGCACTCTGCACCACCATTGGTGCAAACAGACATGACATCTAAGGACTATTTAAATAATTAGGGCAGATCCAGATTAAAGGACCTTTAGAGGGAACTCACATGTCTAAGGACATGGGTGGAGAAACACCTCATACCTATCAGTGGAATACATCAAGGAGATTGCTGACCACAGGAGCAGACTCGCCAAGTCACTCATGTCTATCATAAGAAGGATGGGTGCTCCAGCTGGAGAATTTTCATGAGATCTCAACAAAAGACAGATGCCCTTTTGTCAACCAATTCAGTAGAGGAGATCAATGCCTTGGGGGCACCCTGCCTGAAAGGATGGCTTTGTGCACTCCCCTATTTACAGTGCTGTCCAAGGTGGCATGCAAAACAAGACCTTAACAAGATAAGAAAGTAGCACCTTTGAAATGTCTTAGCTCCAGAGCCAATATGCCACCCAGACCCAGAGTGACTGTGGACTTGGAAATTGAACAGAGCAATCGTTGAGCCTGGATCTTCCAAGTTGATGGTAGAAACCATTTTGGTACTTACAGGTATATGTTCACACATTGCACAGCCCAGAAACTTGTATTTTTAAATGAAAGCTGAGATTGACCTCTTCATCCAGAATCCAGATCTTGCTCACAATACTTCTCAGCAGACCTAGCCAGCATCAAACTCCTAGGAGTTTCAGATCAACAACATCTGGAGGGCCACAGCTTTTCCTAGCCTGCTGTTCTCAGATCAGCTGTCTTTCTCCCAAAAGCTTTGGCTAATGGGGGATTACTTTTTTATCATGAGGGTGGAATTACTAGTTTGGAATTACTGCAGCTATACCTGGTATTCACTGTCTCTACAGGAAAGTTTAATAGCGCTAATATTAGCCCTGGCTCTCTTCCTGTCCTTCCTCTTCTCACTTCTGGGTCCAGGTATAACCACTTCTCTTTCTCTTTCTCCTCTCCCATGCATATACTTCTCTTCCTCACTGTTTCACCTGTTCCCAATCTGTATTCCCCTCCCTGCAGCATGGACCTCTAGATTTTATAGTCACGCATGACCTATCCCCCCTCTTTTATCTCAGATTGTGTGGGTATCCCCCATTTTACGATGAGAACGATACCAAGCTGTTTGAACAGATCTTGAAGGCCGAATATGAATTTGATTCTCCCTACTGGGATGACATATCGGAATCAGGTGAGGGGAGAGGCATCTTACTTTCTCTGAATGCCCAAATCAAGTAACATTCTGTAGGTGCTGTAGTGGCACAGTTTGCTCCTCATCTTCTTTCTGCTTCCAGCCAAAGATTTCATCCAACATTTAATGGAGAGAGATCCCAAGAAGCGATTCACTTGTGAGCAAGCACTACAACACCCATGGTAAGAATTAAAAAATGGTTGAGCCATTTGGCTTTTGAACCTTAAACAGGGTTGGTGTGGCTTTGGTGTCTTTCTGTATCTTTATTCCTTTTCTCATGTATAGTAGCTCCACTGCCCCTCATCCATACCTGCCACTCAGGCCAGGGTTTTTTCCTTCTGATGTTCTGTTTGCCACAGTCAAATTTCAGATAAAGCATACTGCTTAAAGAAACACATATTCATGAATACTTAGTATACGTTATTACAAACTGCTGATCTCAGTCTCCCTAAAATTTAATTATTGATATAGGTGATTACATGGCTATTTTTGTCCGAAGCCACTTTGGAATGCGCTCTCAGATACCCATCTAAGGGTGTTCAGATTATCAGCTGGCAGAGAGTGAAAATATGCAGGAAGAATAAAAGCCAAGTGTTACTTGATTTAGAGAAATAGAAGTGCCCATGCACTTATTCCTTCTCCCCATGATGCCCTTTCCTTGTTAATGCACAAAGTCTCCTATAATGGAGTTCTCAATTTCATTTGGAAATTGGAAGTTGGAAAGTTTTATATTAATTCTGCATGCTCTATTTTGTTGGCAGAATTCTTATCTTTATTGCATAATTTGGTGTACTTTGAGTGTGTTATATTTAAAACATACAACCTAAAATAAAGCCCTGTAAAAATAAATGCTAAACTGACCGCAACATAGGTAACCCGATGAGCTTCTTTGGGGACCTTATCCACCAACTGTGGTAACACCACTAGTCTCTCTTTAACAGCGGGCCCCCTTACCTCTTATGGAAGTGGGGTGTCTGTCAACAGGAATGAATGTTTTCCCTCTTCTCAGGATTGCTGGAGACACTGCGCTAGATAAGAACATCCATCAGTCAGTCAGTGAGCAGATCAAAAAGAACTTTGCCAAAAGCAAGTGGAAGGTGAGGACGCCCCAAAGATGCTATTTTATTATTCCGGTGCTTGTTTTGTTTAACATTTATACCCCTCTCCTTCCCAAGCTTCCTCTTCCTCCCAAATGATGAAGAATGGCATGGACATCAAGTGGGGGAAGGCCGATAACCGTTATAACTTAAGTGATGTTCCTAGCTGCATTCCTGTCTTCCCCAGCACCAGTTCTTGGCAGTGTTGAATGCAGGGGAAGGAAGCAAAGGAGTTATTCTTAAAGTTTTGCTTGATTGCTGAAAAGTTTGCTGCAAAGTGGCATTTGTCTTGTTTTTTTTAATTTTCTCTCATTTCTCCCATTTAGCAAGCCTTCAATGCAACAGCTGTGGTGAGGCATATGAGGAAGCTACAACTTGGAACCAGTCAAGAAGGTCCTGGCCAAGCCATGCAGGAGAGCAATGGTGAGAGGTTAGGAGTGTCTCTGTGTGGCCTTTCTCCTCAAAGTCCCCTCTTCCATTGTGAGCATTGATGTCTGTCGGCCAGTGGTGACAGCAGTGCTATATTTGATCTTTATTTTTGAGCCTATTTGTCATGCTGCCAAAACTCACAGATAAAACTGATCACGCTGGGGACCAGTCACACAACTCACATAGTTAGTTACAGCTGGGCCAGCACCTGGAAGAAGAACCAGGTCTTCAGGACCTTCTTACCTTCCTAAGCCATCCCATTCTGAAGATCAGCTCAAGTCAATAGGAGCTTCTATGTACATCATAGTCCCAGTGATGTACACATGGGGTATTTAGTTCATTTTATGTTGTTCATAACAAATGTCTCCTTAAAACACATTCCAAAGATAGAGCTAAAGTACCATATTATCAACCATGGAATGAATCTGGTCACTAAGCACAGAAAATAGGGACTGGGTAGGTTCCCTTTTTTGAACCTGTGGAAGCACTGGAATCGTCTACTTTCTAGTTAATCTGGTCTTGATTATCCTTTTCTCCCCCTTTGTCTTCTTCAGGCTCAGCTACTAATAGCAGTGAGGAATCCTTGGGGAATGGCTCTCATCGCCAAACTCAGGACTGAACATTCACCAAAGGCAGAGGACTATAGATGGCAGAGCCAGCAGCAATCATAACCGAGTGGGCAGTCCCAAGCCCAGCCCTCCCATCCTGTTGTAAGAAGAGCTAGGGAAGGGTCTGGGACCACCATCACATCTTCCCAGCAAAGTACGACTGAGTCCCATTATAGGGGAATGGAACTTGTCCTCTATTTAGTGGCATTCTCCAGAATCTGGAAGTGGAGGCTAGTACTCTCTAAGCCACACACTTCCCTGGAGATGCTTTTTCCTCTCCTGCTCCACCCCCCACCCCGTTGGCCACACCAACAAGACCCATCCTGAGCCCTATGCTCATTCCTCATCTGAAGCCAGCAGTAATGTCATCCTCTTTGGCCCATCATGTGAGTGGCTAGGTCTTGGGAAGAAGTATTCAAGATCCCTCTGGATTTTTGCAGCAACTACTCAAGTAGGAGTTTGATTTCCAACTGTGCACACAATCTTGTGCTTGAGGAAACCAATGAGAAACCCTGCTTCTCCCACATGACCCAATCAAGCAGACCCCAAGGGATGAGGACATACACGGTAGCTGGCACTTGGCTCAGTTGCGTGCAGTGTTGGAGAATAAAGTTTGTTTGTTTGCAGAGAGAAGTTTGGAGTAGCTTGTAGCCTTCCACAACAAGGACTTGATCTATTGAAGTTTCTCCAGGAGTAGAAGCTGTTTTTCTACAGTCAAGGAATATAGAAGCTAAAGAAGCTTTCCTACTGCCCTCTGGATGTGAGGGGCCATGGCTATCCTGAGTGATGGTTTATGGGATTTGATCTCTGAGGACACTAGAGTAGATTGAGCTGTACTGAAGGGTCATTGCTTTCTTGGGGCCAGCTGTGCCTCTTCCAATGTCATTTGCCAACTCTGGATAAAGACTGGTAATGTTTTAAGAGTGGTCATTTTATAGCACTATGGCTGTCCTCTTACAGAGTTACCCAGACTAGAAAAAAATTGTAGCAGTTTTGCAGGTGGTCACATTGTGAAGTGGGGAAAAGCCAGCTGGGATCATATATTTTCAATAATCCCTGGCAGTTGTAAAATTATTCTTAATATTTTGTAGCTAGTGGGGTGGGTGGGGCTTAAAGTAAGAATAAACTCATAAATGTATGTATGTCTCTTTCACTTCTCAAAGTTGCATGAAATAGGAGAGGGTTACTGGGAGATTGAGTTTGACAATTCCTAGCATGAGAAACCTCCTAGTGAAGATACCACTGACTACTCTTAAAATGTTCTATCTGTCTTCATCCACAGTAGTCCTGGGGCCATTTATCTGGTATAACTAGGGCTTCCACTGCCTGTTCTTCTCCTGCCTGATCTGAAACCTCATAGCTCATAATTTTGTCTTGTTGACCTTTTCTTCCACCCTCTTGGTTCAAGAGGAACTTCATAACGTTT